AAAAAAGCCCTCCAGGTGATCCTGAAGTTTGAGTTAGCTCTAACCTAAAATGCCTGAAATAGTCTTCTCACTGGTTGCCATACCCACTCTATTTACCCTATTTAATACATATTCTACGCATCCACAGATTTCATCAATGATTTTCCATTCACTGCAGTGGTGATTTTTAAAACAATATATGGTCTGTTGACCTATTACAGAAGACAGTGAAGGCAATCCAGTATTTAATTTTTAAAAAGTGAAATGAGAAGAAAACACAACATATCAGAAATCATCACATATAGAAGAATTATTATTTTGTTAAACTTTGCTTCAATTGTGTGTGTGTTTGTGCCCCCATAGGCACACGTGTATTTCCTATTATAGGTAATAATTTAAAAGGCTTGAAAGATATTTGCCTAGAGCAGTGCTTCTCACACTTTATTCACACTCACCCAGGGATCTTGTTATAACGCAGGTCTAGGAAGGTTCCTGGGACTCTGCATTGGTAACAGACTTCTGGGTGACGGCCAGATGGTCTTGGACCTCACTTCTAGTACCAAGAGCTACTCAACTGAGAAATCTTAGAACACTCCTAAACTTACTACTTCAGCTTCCGTAACTCATGGCATAGTAAGTTTTTTACTGAACCTGAGATATGGCAGATTTGCAATATGCTAGAAAATTTTACTAAATATTCGGCGAATTGGGATGGTGGTACTCTAGGTGCTCTGATGGGAAAACACAAATGTTTTGCTTTAACTATGGTTGTTAGCAGTCTTTAAAAACGAGTTTCCTATTTCCTGCCTTAGGAAATGAATAAACTGAGTTAAAATTAGTTTTCTTTGACGATTAATCATTTTGAATTGCCTCAGGATAATCTAGCATTATCTCAGGATGTTAGTTACAAGAACTCTATTAACTATAGGATAATATAAATGGAGATGTGTAAGACGTAGAGGAAAAAATGGGCTCAATTTAATAAGCACTGACCTCAGATTATACTCTGGATATTTTAATTTTTTACCAAGATCCTGAAATGAACTGCAACTTTGGGGAGGGGGGATGTCTCTTTTTCCATCAAAATTGAAGGAAAAATATTATCCTGTTCCAATTAATCAGGCCCAACCCAAAATGTCAATCATGCTGTAATATATTCACAGAGCAAGTAACTTACTAGATACTTACTCTGTGTCAGCCTCAGGCCTACATCCTGGAGGTACAGAGATGACAAGACAAAGACTCTTCCTTAGAGGTACTTTGTCTAAAGGATTCTGTATATTTCAATGTCTCTGCAGCTGATTGGATGAGGATTTCTGGTGGGTCTTTCCTATTGATTTCTAAGCTGAGGGCAGAAACAAGTCTTTTATTTTCTTTGATTTTCCATAGCACCTGGCACAGTGCTCTGCAGGCCATCAAGTACAATAGTTGATAAATGTTGATGACTACTCAACTCTTTCATCCACCAAATTAGTAAGTGCATTTGAACAGAATATGAAATGCAGCTGACTAACGGCCTGATCTGTGCCATTGTTATCTAAGGGGTGTGGTCAAAATGATACACTCATCTGTGCAGTACAATAACTAGCTATATCACCCTAAGCTTTATAAAAATGTATAGTTCACTGACGACTCACTATTCTTGACTACCCACCTCTCTTCATTTAGGCAGACACATGGGAAAAATGAGAAACCTATACAGCTGACTTTTCTTTTCCCCACAAAAGTAAATTTCCCTCAGATTCCCTGGTAACCTATACAAATATTAAACCATCCTTGCCATCACACACACACACACACACACACACACACACACACACACACACAAACGAACTTTGGATAAGGAATCTCTTGCCCTCATCTCAACCCAGGTCTGTTCTTCTATTGGTAATATCTGTTTTTTTGTTTCATGGTTATCAGATGTAATAGGGCCTAAATCTTAAATATCATTTACATTTATTAAAGAAATTTTTTTCTTTCTTTTCAGTTTAAACCATCCACAGTGATCACAAAAAATTAAACTTCACTTTTGATGAGAAAGGGAAAACTGCATAATAAAATATGCAGTTATTTAATTTTAGAACTTGAAATGAAGACAAAACATTGGGATTTGGGGAGAAATGCAAAGATTAAATTAATGGTCAACAACAACTCACAAGAAATCTAGATAATGTAATGATACTTCTATTAGTTATCCAAAACGATTGTGTGCTAAGGAAGGGGCATACTCTTAGTTTGATTATCTAGCAAAAGTTAAAAGAAAGAATTAGGGCATATTTTACAACAGGGACCCATGTGAGGAGAATAGGAAAGTCCATAAAGACTAAATGGGGCCCTGGCAGGTGTGGCTCAGTAGTTAGAGTGTTGGCCCATGCACCAAAGGGTGTGTGGCTCGATTCCCAGTCAAGGGCACATACCTGGGTTGTGGGTTCAATCCCCCATCCTGGCCAAGGCGTATGCAGGAGGCAGCCAATCAAGGTGTCTCTTTCACATTGATGTTTCCCTCTCTCCCTCCCTCCCTCCCTAAAAATCAATGGAAAAAATATCCTCCAGTGAGGATTAACAACAACAACAAAAAGAATGGGAATATAGGCTAATAAATAACTTGGCATCATTTTATAGAGACTCCAAAGCCAATAAAAAGTACTCAAGTACGTCAAAGGGATAAAGTGAGCTAAAGCATAGATGTTAATTGTTTAATAATTAATGGCTAACTAGTTCACTCAAGGATAAAGAGGAAACAGGATGGTGAGACAAGAGAGTCACTCTTTCTTAAGGAATGGGATCTAGAAAGAGTAATTTTGGAGCAAACTCTTGGAAGGGAAACTGGAGTCAACGACTATAGATCTGGATAGAATGGAGAGGATATGCTGGCGTTTTCTATCTATATATGCTCCACCGTTTCCTCTTTCTCTGTCTTCTTTATCTCTCTCCATATCTAACTTGCACTTTCCTCTCCCTTCTTTCACATGTCTTTTCCTTATTGGACAGAACATAAACTGGAATCATTCTTTGTAATGTGTTTTATATATATTTGTAATACTTAATACCTTGTATAGATCTTCATAATATCTTGTATTTTGATAAAGTGAAATCCTCTTTGCTATAAATTTTAAAGTCAAGCGAACTAAGTTATTTAGACATCTACTTCTCTCCTCGACATTCATGTCCTACCCTTTTTAACAACTAGAGTGGCTTTGTGATAATTTCTCTGTGGGGCGATGGCTCTTCATCTCGGCTGCTGTCCAACAAATTCTCTCGCACTGAAGTTTAAGTCCTTTCTTCCTTATCCAATTCTACCCTTTATAGAAAGACTAATTTCCATTTTTATATAAAACCGTTTTTACATAAAATCTACTATTAACTCACCACGCAACTTTCTGTTTAGGGTAACTAATCCTAGCTTCCCATTGACCTGTTAGGAGGCAGTATAGTAGCTGGTTAAGAGTACAGGCTCCTCCTGGCTGCTGTGGCTCAGCGGTCGAGCACCGTCCCACACACCAGGAGGCCACCAGTTTGATACCAGGTCCGGGTCCACGCTCGGGGTGCTGGCTCGATCCCCAGTAAGAGGTGTGCAGGAGGCAGATGACCAATGTCTCTCTCTCATCGATGTTTCTATCTCTCTCTCCCTCTCCCTTCCTCTCTCTCCCTCTCCCTTCCTCTCTCTAAAATCAATAAAATTTTTAAAAAAAGAAGAAAAAAAAGAGTACAGGCTCCAAATTCAGACAGGCCTAAGTTTTAGCCTCTCTGCACTTACTACTTGTGTGACCCTGGGCAAGCTGCTTGACCTTACCAAGCCTCAGCTTTCTTAGCTGCAAAATAGGCATAATAATTGTACCTAACTCATAAGGTTACTACAATATTAAATAAGTTTAAAGTTCTCAGCATACTGCTTAGTCTATGGTGCTGAAAAACTTCCAACCGTTCTCATTTTTCAATAATATACCTTTAACCAAAGCTTTCCAAATAAGATGGCTTTCTTAACCCTTATACTTTTCAAGTCCCTCTTGTGTCAAAATATGGGACTGTATAGTTTCTAACTACATGCTACACCTTTATTTTAACCCCTGTCAAGTTTTCCTTCATGTACCACTCAAGTTGATTTCATGTCTTTAGAATGTCTGCCTCCTTGGAGCTATAGGAAATCTGCTTCTTAACTTCTCAATATCCTTTGAGATAAAGGGTAGGTTACACTATCATTGTCTCTATCTCAACAGATTAATAAATGGGGTCCAGAAGCTTAATGGACTAAAAGGAGGGAAAATGATCAGTGAGAAGGACTACAGTTGGATATTACCATCCATGATGCTTTATTTATATTCTCATCAGCCAACCTTGCTTGGGCTTGCCTGAATTTACTAACTTGTTTTATTTGTTAAATACATATTAAACACTGTGCTAGAATGTAAAAGGTTAAAAAAAGATGTGGTCCCTGCCTTAGGAACTTCCAGAAAACAATAAAATTAATGGTTACCATGTAGTAAGGGTCTTACCCGAGGCATTAGCAGAATGAAATGGGAGCACAGTGGACAGATATCCAAATCAGACTGCATTCCAATTTTTTATATTAATAATGGGTAGAAAAAGGGCTCTGAGTCTAAAAAGAACACAATTCCTACATTCTTTTTTTGCTGCTTCTGGTGTAAAGGGAGACATTAATCTTTTATTCTACAAAGAGGAAGTGATAAAGTATAATGGAAGAACAACAAAAATTGTGGATTTTAAGTTCCTCCCCCCACCCGCCAGTCCCTCAACCCTCTGTTTCATGTTTTTGAACTTGGGTAAGTAACTTCACACTCTGGACTTAATTTTGCTTTGTCTATCAAGCAAGTTAATATACTCCATATTCTAGGGCAGGGCTGGAAAAGATCACTGATCAAGGTCCCTCCCACTGAACTCTACAAATTGGATATTTCCTGATCCAAAAAGGCAGGCAGGAATCTTACCAAGGAAGGCGCTAGGAGTAGGAAGCAGTGTCTAGGGAGCAAGGGACATTGAAGGAGGCCGAAGCCAGTTCTCACCGAGAGGATCTTATCACCCTCCTGGAGCCGCCCATCCAGGGCCGCAGCCCCATTCTCTTTGATGCGGCTGACGTAGATGCCACTGTCGTTGGAGACATACTGCTGATCTGTCCCACCGACGATGTTGAAGCCCAGCCCTGAGAAAATCATGAAGGAGTTGTGAAGGAGACAGGGGTGAAGAAAAAGAAAGGGATTAGAGAAGAAGAGAAAGAGAGAGGAAAGGCCTAGTAGAGAGGGGAGGCTGGTGAGGCAGACTGATGTAGCTGGTGAACACTCATGGGCAAGGTCAGCGAAGAGTTATCACCAACAGAGGCTAGGAGAATCTAGAGTTGCCCACTCAGATCAGGTAGAACTAAAAATACGAACACAGTGACCAACATGGTTTGTTGAATATAAATAAAGATCTGTGCTAACTCAGTGACAGAATAATGGTGATTATTTTAAGATGTGATTCTGATTCTGTTGATGGCATTCAGTGAACCCAATTCTTGACTTTCCTTAATGTAACAGGGTTAGCTGTGTTCATGAGAAGCAGCTACGCTTTTAACTAATTAGCAAATAAAATTCCTAATTTAGTGGAAGAGAGATTCCTAACCAAACTTTCCCTTCCATACTTCTCCCAACCTTTGGGAGACTTTGGGTATGGCGGTGTTTTGGAAGAAATGGTCTTGGTAGTCTCATTTATTTTTTCTATTTTAAGTTGAGGGGGCAGTAGTGTAAGTGTTGGCAGGAAACCTAGAATTAGAAAAGTAAGTGATGCTTCATGATAAACTAAATCACCAAATTCACTCTTTTTTCCTTTTCTACCTCAAGTGCAAACAACCATATACTTGGGGACAATGATTGCTAAGTTTTATGTGCAGAAGAAGCCTGACTACTCAATAATTAGCAACACCCATTTCCCCTTTGCTCCAGCCTCTGGTGACCACCATTCTATCCTTCGCTTCTAAGAGTGACTATATTAAACAGGCACGGGCATAAAATTTCAGTTACACAACAGTAAGTTCTAGATATAGGATGTACAACATTGTGCCTACAGATAACAATAGTGTATTTTACACTTAAAAATCTGTTCAGAGAGTAGGTATCATTTAAGTGTTTTTAACGTAATAAAATAAAAGAAGAAGAAGAAAACTGACTACCAAAGTACTATTTCAATGGACCAACCACTAAGTTGTGGGAAGGATTTCAGTTTATGAAAACCATTGTTATAAAGGGATTTTACCTATGCATTAAAAAGAAAAGAAAAAAACAGAACTTCCCTAGGGTTTTCTTTATGTCAGGTACTGTATAAGTCAAAGCACAGTGCAAAGAGAAAGGAGATAGTTTGGAAACAATTAAAAATCAAAAATCTGGTAGCACAATTGGAAGGACTAGCCATAATCACTAGCCTACTACTGGTTTCAATAGAAAGCAGATACTTAAAGAGACATAAGTGGGCTTTCTAAAAGTTCTCCTCATTGGTGGGATGAGAACTTGCATGTAAAGCTCATAATATTAATATAAGCACTAGAAAATTAATCTGTTATTTAAGAAAATGCATGGCTGAAGAGAGAAGCCGCAGGAAATATTTCACTTAAATAGCATAAGTTGTGCACAGAATATCTGTGGCTAGAGAATGAAAAGAAGGATTTACGATACATGATAGAATTACTTCTGGAAGACGACCACTTCAACTTCCTTGAAGGGTAGGGTATAAAAAATGTAAGTTACTATATGGTTTCTCTTAGAACACTCTTAATTTGTATTATAGTGGGTGGCCGGGATTGGAAAAGGGATGGTGAGTGGTTATTCGAGATAAGGTGGAAAGGTAGGTGGAGACTACCTTATGGAAGGCTTTGAAATGATTTCAAAACTGTGACAGGTTTGAGGTAGGTGGCTCAGGCCAACCAGCCATTCTCAATACTAGAACAAACTATTTGGAGAAAAATCTTTCAATGAAATCCAGCATCCTCAGTAAGCACTACAGCTGCCTCTGGGAATCTTGGGTAGGAAGCATGTGTTAAGCAGATGAATGCAATACAGTAGTAAGAAAGAGGAGGGACTTTGCTTCTGGTTATTTAAACTTACAGGACAGTGTCTAAACAAGAAGAGCAGAAGAAATCTTACTGAAATTTTCTATAAACAAACAAGTATAGTCTACTCCCTCCAGAAATCACATTATACAGGCATGTTTACAACCTACTGCTGTTTCGGTTGTAAATGAACCACACCACTTAACATGAGAATTCCTAGACTGATTGATGTGAAATCCCTTTCTTCGGCCAGAACATTTACAGAACTGGACTCACTTGCATTGCCGCAATAAACAGAAATCACCAAAGCACTGAGTAGCAGCAACATTACCAATTCAAATCTGGGCCCTATGGATATCTGCATAATCCCCAGTTCATTTGTTCATTAAAAATTACTGGTGATTGGCCCTGGCCAGGTAGCTCAGTTGGTTAGAGCATTCAGATAAGCCAAGGTTATGGATTTGATCTCCAGTCAGGGCCGGCACATACAAGAATCAACCAATGAATGCATAAATAAGTGGAACAACCAATCAGTGTGTGTGTGTCTCTCTCTCTCAAAAATCAAGCAATAAATAAAAAAAGCACTGATGATTTGCCATATGTCAGGCACTGTGTTATGTTCTGAGAAAGACATAAAGCTAAACTGGACAGCCCTTGCTTTAACCACAAACAGAAATTGACCCTTTTCCCTGTCCCTTTCAGATTTTGCAGAAGCAAATGAAAATCAGAAGACCTGCTCACAAATTCAACTCCGTAACTTAACAGATATGCGGACTAAAAAAAGTCATTATACCTCTGATCCTCTGCTTCATTTTCTGTAACATAACAATTACAAATGCTGCCCTCTCTATCTCAAAAGGTAATTGTTAGGGTCCAATTACCTTAACAAATCTGAAAAAATCCTTATAAACTACAGAGCTGCTATATTGAGTAACTGCACTAAGAGTAGTTGTTAGCAAATTAGTAGTACCTGGTACAGCCCAAAACCAGATAGTCTGATAAAGGATGAATAACTACACGGTACGAATGTGAATAAACCTGAAATACGGGAAGACAGAGATGAAAAAGTCCATCTATCTATTAATAGGATAAGACTGGACTGGAACTCAAACTTTTAAGTATGTCTATAACCTGTGACCCAGACATTCTCCCTCATAACTACTATCTAGAAAGAATGGTATTAAAAATAAGCAATAATAAGTCCAACACATTCACCAATCAACTGCAACAGATATCAGCTGGAAACAAAAGGGGAAGGACTATCCCACTGCATATCTGCTGATTTATTGGCTGTGTCCTAGAACAATGAACAGGGTGGACCACATATCCTGGTTTGTTGGTAGTCCTGATATACACACCTGTAATCAAAATATTCCCCTTCAATTTCACAAGCATCTCAGTTTGGATCAATGTGATCATCCTATCTATAAAGGGGGATGTAAGAATATGTTAATCGCAGGATGTTTTGTGATGGTGTAAAACTGATTGTAATCTAGGTGTCCATTCTTTGGGGAATTGGTAACTAAAATATAGTTAAAAGTTAGAAGCATTGAATAATCATATATAAAATAATGGAGGTTTAAAATTTGATGTTGATATTAATAGCACAATATCTTCTCATTAATTAAAAACTCATGCACACAAAACAGTATTACCTACTTACCAAAATGCATGCATATTTAAGGGCATGTGGAGACACATTAGAGTCAGTAGCTATTAGGGAAGGATACAGGATGAGGTTAGAAATGAAGGGTAAAAATGAAACCAAAAAAGGATCTTGCTTGTACTGATGATGACAATGTCTTTATGGAGCTGAAGGATATAATTAACTCAGTTCTCAGAATCTACGATCCAAATAGGATTAAGGGGAGAAGTCAAAGAAAAAGACCTAGGCTCAATAGGCTTAAAAAAAATAAATTTTAAAATGTGGTGTGAAACACATATCTAAACTGGAGTCACTAATAATGGTGTGTGGGGAGGGGGGGAGGGACGAGGGACTAAAATGGAGTCAGGAGGCTATTAAGAAAGTAGGGCCTTTGCAGCCTATGCACCTTTGAGCCTCAGTTCTCAGAGCTGCTATTAAGTTGCTAAATCTGTTGCTAAACTCAGCTCCAGGCTGAGTCATCAATATCCTGGAACAACCCTTCTGTAGACACATATGGACTTTATCTCTTTTCTTGTAGTTTTTGCCTCCCTTATTTGCATATCAGAACTAACCAGGCCTGGTAAACCTAGCCAGTAATCCTTCATTTGCATGAAAGAATTACATTTTGTGATTTTTGCCTTTACGAATCCTTCTCTTTGTTCTCCCCAGAGCACAATCTAGGTCGCTACCTGAATCGTGTATCCTGGGTTGCAGCTTCTTATGCTCATATAAATGCTCTTTACTCTTTACCTCAGTCTGAAATTAATTTGGGTTTACAGTAGCAAGATTAAAATGGGTTGCTTAGTCTCAAAATTTAGAAGTCTCAAACGCAAAAAAACTAAATATGGCATGAGAATGACATCCCCTTTTCCATAGGACTGGGAGAGAAAGAGTGGCTAGTATAAAAGCCTTAGAGCCCGGCCAGGCGTGGCTCAGCGGTTAAGCATCAACCTAGGATCCAGGCAATCAGGGTTCGATTCCCGGTCAGGGCACATGCCCGGGTTGCGGGCTGCAGCCGATCAATAACTCTCTCATCATTGATGTTTCTATCTCTCTCTCTCCCTCTCCTTTCCTCTCTCTGAAATCAATAAAGATATTTTTAAAAAATAAATAAATAAAATAAAAGCCTTAGAAAGTTAAACAAGAAATGCCTTCTTGTGGACTCGTTTCCAGGTCTGGACCTTGAGCTTGTTTATGAATAACAGCAGCAATAGTAGCAGCAACACCTAATATTTATTGAGCATTAAATATGTACCAGGTATTCTGCTACGTACTGTACATACGTTACCTCAATCTTCTCACATGAAGTGATTATTACATTTTACAGATGAATTTAAAAGGTGAGGCATAAAGAGATTAGATAACTTTACAAAAGGTCAATTAGCTCTTCTCAAAGAAAAGACACTAAGCCAGGATGTTTGGTTCCAAATGTAAGTTTTAAACCATTTTGCTATACTGTATCTTTGTAGAAAATATG